ATGATCGTTAATTCTGAACATTGATTTTTAATCTGGATTTGTAGATCCAGCTTTGAAAATATTCTTCCGCCATTTAACTTTGAAAAAAATTAATTTCTCTCGACTTGGTAATGGGTAACAATTGTCAAACTTTTTCTTTTACTTGAAAATCCGCCTTGAATTTTGAACACCAATACAGTTCATTTGACAGAATATCTGGAAAACATTTTCTTCCATAATATTTTCACTCTGACTTTTTAAATTGGTCGCTTATCCACTTACGTTTTTGTAATAAACGTTTATAGGAAAATCAAATTGTTCAAATAGTTCCATCCAATCAGTACTGAATAAATTCGTTGCATTTTTTAATGTATAAGCTTTAGTTTTTACATGTTTATTAAGGAATTAGACATTACAAGTCATTTCTAAAAAAAAAATAAAATCTCACTAGAAACTGAAATCACGTCTTTGAAAGTCCTTTTTAATAAAGGCTTTCTAATTTCCTTCCGTGTGATTTCATTGATTATTGTCCAATAGCATTTTTACACCTATATTATTTATTCTCACATTCACAAATTTTCCTTTTGTTTTCTGTGTCCATTTTTTCCGTCGCAATATTGTCTATGAATTTCTTCCTGTGAGAATTTTTTCTTGGTTTGGTTTTGCAGTATGACTTTATATGTCCTCGTTTACCACATTTGTGATATTCTGCAGTTTTAAATAAACAGTCTTTTCCAAGATGTAATTTACCATTTCTAAGACAAGGATTTATTCTTCTTTTTGCCCATTTGACCTTTGCTTGTACCAATGCACATTCTTTTTTGGAATTTCTTCAGCATCGTGTTTCAGACATAGAATTTTCTGGAAATATCCACTATTTCTTGCAGTGTAATCTTACTGTTTTGTTCAATTGTCGTTAAAATTTCAGCATCTTTTTTAGCAGTTAAACTTTGAACAAAAATTAAAAATTTGAACATACCTGGAGCCATTTCCTTTATTCTAAACTTTTCACATTCTTCTTTGATTATACCCGCATACGTGACAAAATCTTCGTCCTCTTTTTTGATTAGATTCATACAGCTACAACGTGCATTAAATAGAGAACTCTTGTCACTAAAGATTTTCTTCAGAATATGTATTGTGTCTTCAAACCCGATATCATCTGCTTTTCCAGTAATATGTACTTGCAATATTTTTCATACTCTATCGGAGCTATTTTCCTCAACAACAATCTCGTTTTCTTCAGACCTTCCCAACCACTGCATTTCTGACTGAATACGCAGAAACAGTCAGTCCCTTAACAAGATTGTATACAAATTCTTATATGGTGTTTTGGACAGCGCCTGGCGTAAGAGACGTTGAAGATTTTTTGCTTTCTTCTTATCCAACAACTCCTGTTGCTGTTTTAGTAACTGTTGATTTTGTTGTTGCTGCTGTTTCTGTTGTTGTTGAATTTCAGTTAACGAAGCCAAAATTTGCTCCATATAGGCAAGAATATTTTCCTACACTCAAGAGAAATTTCTTTTCTTCTACACAAAATTGCTTTTCTAAACCAATGTGGTTAAAAATTTTTGCCGTCACCAGTATCCTTGTCCCCAAAGAAACAAGTATATTTTTCCGTACTTGTTCACTCAATATGAGTTTCTAAAATCCTTGTAACTCCTATTATAACTTGTATGAGTTCCTGAATCCTCGTTACTATTATAAATTAAAAGATCCGAATCCTCGACACAAAGGTTATAAATCGCCTGAGTTTCGAATCCCGCTTTGCTAGTGTTATAACCAGCTTCGTAACTCTGATAATATAAATAATGCTCGACAAGCCTGTCACGGGCCAGACAGGGAACTGTCTGACTCCAAACGGCTTATGGTATTTAACAAACATCCCCAGAAGGCAGTGTGTAGCAGAAGGCTGGTTTTTATAGGGGGTGATTCCGAGTCCATAGGCTTGGGCAAAAATTCCTCTTAGACACTGCATACAAGGGTCGGGTTTGTCTCCCACCCCAGATGAGACTCTTGCCTGTAGGAAGAGATTCGTCTGGGTTCCTCTCTGCCCGAAGGGACAGAGGTCGACAAGCCTGTTGCGAGCCTTGCAGAGAGCTGTCTGACTCCAAACGGCTTCTTGTACCTACCAAAGCTCCCTACAAGGCAGGATAGAAGGCTGGTTTTTGTATGGAGCGATTCCGAGTCCGTAGGCTCGACAAAAATTCCCCTGAGATCCTGCATACACGGGTCGGGTTTGTCTACCTCCCCAGACGAAACTTTGCCCATAGTGTCGTCTGTGTTCCGCTCTGCCTTCGGGCAAAGAATTCGACAAGTCAGCTGAGAGCCTGGCTGCAAACTGTCGTCTGACTCCAAACGGCTTTTTTCATCTTTACCTCTGACCTGGATCTCATTGAGTTGTAGACTAGAAAATATTGTCACTGGGGATGTACTATTTACCCACCAACAATTGTTGGATGTTAAAACTATTTGAATGAAACAAAACTGTATAAATTAGTCAAATCAAAATAAAAAGTATTCTAAAATACGCCATTTAAAAAATGATGTTACGTTAACATAAAGTTCAATCATTCATGTCAATGCATAAATAATTTAGTAATACAATCTATTAAATATTCATAATGATATAAGTCGCAGCAAGAATATATTACATATCTGTAATAAAGTAAACTCTCTAAATGACTGTCTTGGGTATGACTATAAACTATATCCGCGTCCTAGGTAAGATGATAAACTACATCTGGCAGCAAGGCTTTGATCAGGAGGTTTTGAGGAGCATGAAAGCACCTCTTAATTGCTGGTGTTCCCGGGTCCACCCTGACCCGGGGTGATAAAAGCTGTCAGGGTCCCAGCTATAGGTAAATAGTTAACCCCTAAACTAGAGTCAAATCACTATGAAATTATAAAAGTAGTTTTTAATACCAGCAATATTTTTTGGAAAAATTATTACTAGCAGTATATCTTTGAAAAGGAAAAATATTACCTTCAATACATCTAAAAAAAAGAAAATACTATCAACGATATATTTTTGGAAAAAAATATATTACCAGCAATATATTTTTGAAAAAAAATTTTTCCAGCAATACATTTTGGGAAAAAAATATTACCAGCAATACATTTTTCGAAGAAAATATATTACCAGCAATAGATTTTTCGAAAAAAAAAAAAATTACCAGCAGCACATTTTCGGAAAAAAATATTACCAGCAATACATGTTTGAAAAAAATTATAACCAGCAATATATTTTTTTTGAAAAAAATATTACCAGTAATACATTTTTGAAAAAAATATACCAGGAAAACATTTTTGGAAAAAAAATATTACCAGCAATACATTTTGGAAAAAAAATATATTACCATAAATACATACTTGGAAAAAAATTATTACCAGCAATATATATATATTTTTTAAAAATTACCAGTAATATATTTTTGAAAAAAATTTACCAACCATACATTTTTGGAAAAAAAATATTACCAGCAATACATTTTGGAAAAAAATATATTACCATAAATAAATATTTCGAAAAAAATTATAACCAGCAATATATATTTAAAAAAAAATATTACCAGCAATACATTTTGGAAAAAAAAAATATTACCAGCAACACATTTTTGGAAAAAATTATAACCAGCTATACATTTTTGGAAAATATATATTACCAGAAATACATATTTGGAAAAAAAAATATATTACCAACAATATATTTCTTGAAAATAAATATGACCAGCAAGACTTTTTTCGAAGAAAATACATTACCAGCAATAGATTTTTGGAAAAATATTAGCAGTAATAAAAATCTTGTCGGTATTAAATAACCCATTGAGGTGTTGATATGCCGTAAAACAAACAAACTAAACCATCTTTAAATGACACTTATTTTAAGCTTAATTAATTTCAATTATATTTTTGTCTTAAATGACACTTACCGTATTTACTCGTGTATCAGTCGACTTCATGTATAGCGTGACTCCTGATTTTTAAGCATTAATTTTAATCCCTCCAAAATAATTCCCCTGTGTATAGTGCAATCGATTATCAAAAATGCAGCATTTTTAACCTCGTCAAACACTTCTGTATAGTGCACCCCACTTTTTACGTAAAGAACTTATAATAAAACACGCACTATACATGAGTATATAAGGTGTTCTATTTGATAAAGTAATCTACATATATGACGACTTATCTTTAAAAAATAGCCAAATATGTATTTTAATATATAAAGATAATATATTTATACACACGCACAAAACACACACACACACATATATATATATATATGGGGCCCATTATTGTGATTGTGACAACATTTACGATGGCTGAAGTTACTAGTGCTACTATTGCAACTACTGCAATAGAGGTAAGTAAATTAGTTAGAACTAGTAAAAAAAATAAATAGTAAAGGTACCACATAGCAATCCACCGAAAACTCTTATTCTATTTTAACTACTTACTTAACAGTACCAAAACATTTTACCGACCCTCATCCTTCGACGTCTACCCACGAAAATAGTTCGACCCCAATAACTCCCCCCCACACCCACTACATCGTTAGGGGATCACGTGAAGCAAGTCAGAAAAATTCCGCAATTCGATCCCCATTCAGGCAAAAATAGTATTGATCATTTTGTTTTTGTTTTTTTTTTTTTTTTTCTTTCTTTCTTTCTTTCTTTCTTTCTTTCTTTCTGTTATGTTTTTGTTCGTTAATGATGTTTTGTCATTTCATTTTCAATGTGTTTGCGTATGATTTTGAGTGTGTATACCTTTGCGTGTGATTTTGTGGGGGCATGTGTTTGCGTGTGATTTTGAGTGTGTGAGTACGTACTTGCGTGTGATTTTGAGTAAGTTTGTGTTTGCCTATGACGTTGAGTGTGTATGTGTATGCGTATAATTTTGAGCGTGCGATTATGTGTTTGCGTGTGATTTTGAGTGTGTGTGCATTTGCGTGTGATTTTTGAGTGTGCATAGGTTTGCGCATCATTTTGAGTGTGTATGTGGTTGATCTGTCGATTCCGTTTATGATATCTATCTATCTATCTATCTATCTATCTATCAACATACGCGCAAATATATATATATATATATATATGTGTGTGTGTGTGTTTGCGCGTATGTTGATATATATATATATATATATATATATATATATATATATATATATATTACAATGAACCATTCATAGGAAAAGAAAATTAGTAAAGTTAATGATATAAAATGGCGAAATCCCTTCACTAACAATATTTTAAACTAATCACTCGATGAATGTTATGATCATTGTGTTTTTTTTTAAATTATAAACTGTAAAATGTCTTTCCTAAATACGCAAGTTGAAAGTACAAAGTAGGTTAATGCATCTTTAAAATTTAGTTAGCAAAGGGATTTTGCCATTTTATATTATTAACTTTACTAATTTACTTTTTTTTTGAATGTTTCATTGTGTTATAAATTGAACTTTTTTACATACATATATATATATATATATATATATATATATATATATATATATATATAGAGATTTAGAGAGAGAGAGAGAGAGAGAAAGAGATAGATAGATAGATAGATAATGAAATAGATAGATAGATGATATACGACTTGTATCTATCTATCAATCTATCATACGCTATTCCGTTCTCTCTTAATCTTCAGTTATCTATCTATCTATCTATCTATCTATCTATCTATCTATCTATCTGTGAATATATATATATATATGTGTGTGTGTGTGTGTGTGTGTGTGTAGATATGAATAGGCTAAGAATGAAAAGTAAGTGTGAGTTAGTTAGAGAGATAGGTAGAGAAATGTATAGAGTGACTGAAATTCCAAGTAGATATGAATCCCTGAGACTGAAAAAGAGAGAAAAATTTGAGATGCAAATAAATTGATATACGGATAAGTTAGAGGAGATCAACATACTGTATATATATATATATATATATATATATATATATATATATATATATATATATATATATATATATATATATATATACACAGATAGATAGTTAACTGAAAATACAGAGAGAGAACAGAACAGCCTATGATAGATAGATACAAGTCGACTTGTATACCTATATATATATATATATATATATATATATATATATATATATATATATATATATATTCTCTCTTTTTCAGTCTAAATAATATTCATATCTACTTGGAATTTCACTCTCTCTATACATTTCTCTACCTATCTCTCTCTAACTCTCACTTACTTTTTCATTCTTAGCCTATTCATATCTACTTTGAACCTTAGATTCTCTCACTCACACTTTTACTTTTAGCATATTCCTATCTACTTCGGATATCAATTACGCTTCCTTTCTCTTTTTCTCTCTCTTTCAGACTTAGCCTATTCATATCTACTTCTCTCTCTCTCTCTTTCAGTCCTAACTTATTTATATCTACTTCGTCTCTCTTTCAGTCAACCTATTTGTATCAACGTTTCTCTTTCTCCCCTATCTTTTCACCTCTCTCTCTCTCTCTCTCTCTCTGTCTCTTACACTGTTAGTTTATTTATATCTACTTCGTCTCTCTCTTTTTTTTCAATCAACCTATTTATATCTACGTCTCTCTCTTCTTATCTCTCTTTTCTCCTCTCCCTCTCTCTATCTCTCTTTACCTTTCCCTTTCTTCTCTTTTCAGCCTTAGCTTATCTATATCTACTTCATCTCTCCCCACCTCTCTCTCTGTATTAACCTATTTATTACTTCGCCCCTCTCTCTCTCTATACCACTCTCTCTTTCACTTTTAGTCTATTTATATCTACTTCGTCTCTCACTCCCCATCTCTCACTGTCTTCCAGTCTTAACCTAACTTCCTCCCTCCTTCTCCCTCTTTCCATCTTCCTCTCTCTTTCAGTTTTAGCATATTTATATCTCCTTCGTCTCTCTCCGCCTGCCACTTTATCTCTTTCAGCCTTAGCCTATTTATATCGACTGCGTCTCTATCTCTTTCTTTCTTAACTTATTTATCTCTATCACCACTCTCTCTCTTTCCCTCTTTCTTTGAGTCTTATCCTATTCATATCTATTTCGAATCTCAGTCACAAGTTAATTTTCAAGGTTGCAGTTCTTCCTATTTCGATACCTTGTCGCAACTGACGCCATCTTCCGACGACAATGGTAGTTAGTTCATTAGCGTATTAGTAAAAATGCTCACCCCGTTATAATAGACAGATTTCCCTCTTATCAATTTTTACTGCTTTCCTCTATTCTTGCTTGCTTATCTTTTTTCTTTTCTTTTTTTTTCATTTCTTCATGATAACAAACATCACCGACCTGGCATTTTAGTTCAGAACTCTGATTTCTCAGCCGCTCGACTACCAACCTGACCGCTAAACCAAAAAGCGCACGTGCAACTTACGCTATTGTAGTCGGAGTAGTCGCTATTTGTCATGCGCAACTCTGAATCCACTGACTTCATTCATTACATCGCTATATCATTCATTCATCTAATTCATTCATTCAAGTGTGTTTCTGTATGTAAGCATCTGTGTGTTATTACGTGTGCGATAGTTTGTGTACGTGTGTTGCGTAGAGGAAAAAAAGAAAAGAAAAAAAAAGAGAACAGTGAGTTTCTATTAGAATTATGTAAAAGACGTGAAAATACATGAACGCGAAATTATTTCGCGTGATACTTTAAACAGTAAAATAGCAGAATATATTGTCAGAACAAAAACTGTCTTCACGATTTCGTATAATAAATAAAGTTGGCTATAAGTTGAAGAAAAAGGCATTATTCAAACAGTGATAGGAAATAAAAACTCGTATACGATTAAATTGGTTGTAGCCAGAATGATTAAAAAAAGGAAAATAACTTAATATATAAATACATTTACGATTAAGTTTCTGTAAAAAACAGAAAAATTTCCTTAGAAACAAAGAAAAGGGCATTGAACTGTTACGTGATATATGTCCTCCTTTATGGCTGCGAATGCTGGACAATCTCCCCAAAGATGAAGAAGAGACTTGAAGCAACAAAAAATGTGGTTCCACAGAAAGATGCTGAGGATACCATGAACCGAACAAGCAAGCAACTATGAGGTTTTGGAGAAAATGGAATAAAAAAGGAAACTTATACTTAACCCTAGAACACTAACCATGGGTATATAGTACTCAGCGCAAATTTTCCTATTTTTAATTACAATTTTCAGTACCTGATTTTCTTACCTAAATATGTTTTTCAGTTCCTATTAATGTTAACTCAAAGTACAAAGTTTGAAGTGCGTGCATGTAAAATATTTCAAATAAAGATTTATATATATATATATATATATATATTTGATATTTTCAAAATCGGGTATGATATATGATAGACAGTTCTAGTTCCACATGCCATGTTTAATGGATATCAGTTATCAGTTACCTCCTGTTAATTCCCTCCTGAAAGTTCTCCACTGCCTTTACTGGGTATTGAACTCACACTCTTTGGGTTCTGTCACTGGATCTAACTAACACCTTTATCCACTGTGCCATGTGTCCTTGAGGACACATGGCAAACACCTGAAGAAGGCTGGAGCGTACAACGACCGAAAACGTTGGCGACAAATATGAGAACAATAGTCCGAATAATGTAAATAATGTACATAATACCTCATCTCAGAAATATAGACAGATACTTTTGGAGGTTATTTAAAGCCAGAAAATATTTTTTTAAATTGTAAGAATTTTTATTTAGATAATAATGATTTACTGATACAAGTCCTATTAATTAACCCATAGCTGTGAGGAGAACAGATGGATTCATGCCTTTCCTAAAGGTATATTCCCATAAGTAAATATAAAGAACAAGACTATAATTGGAACTTGGCTCTTCAGTTTCCAATTCAGAATTGTTATCCATTACACCACCCACACATCTAAGCTTCCAGCACCTGATATTCTCAGGTACTCACTGATTTAGGTACTGACCAGTCACGACTTTTTTTAAAAAATGTTCTGGATTATGTCTATCGTGTTGCGCAGTCAAGAAAACAGAACAAAGAAGAAAAGGTGCTTTCCAGTTTGTTTCGAAATCAGTCGGATCCGATTTAGGGAAACGTAGGTTCGAGCCCGGTCGAGAGCACATTTCCTTTCAATTTCAATGCGTGTGCATACCGATAAACATAATCTTACAATTTTTTTCTTACTTCAAACATAAACGGGTTAAAAACGGTGCGTCTAATCAAAAATAGGTATCAACTAAAAAAAAAAACAAAAAAAAAAAAAGATTGAATTAATTTAAAATATCGGATTGAAAATAAATCCATTAATTCTTTTGAAATATCACGGCGCTTTCTTTACAAAGGGAAAATACAGCGGGACTAGACGTGACGTTATTCGTGGCAGAGCGGTAAAGCACACCGGGTCAAACAGTAGTTTTCCCCCACAAAGAAGAAAGCAGGTTCAGTCCCTGCCGGAGAAAACACCTTCTTTTCAAATACGCACGCGGATACATATAATACACATTGTTTGACAAGTAAAAAAGACGCGTCTATTTCAAATACGAGGTGTCCACTATAATAACGTTTGAAGCAATGAAAATGTCAGATTAAAATAAAGCTATTATGTCTTTATAAATACACACACACATATATTTCATTCAAGCATGTTTGATTAAATAATTTAGACGTATTATAGCTATTTATTTTAGTTTTAATCCTTTCGTGTTCATATTGGAATTTTTCTTAATCAATTTTCTATAGACACCAAGAAATTAATTCTTGAAATTTAAAGGATTAAAACTAAAATGAATAGACATAACACGTCTAAATTATTTTTCACAAACATTTTAATATATATATATATATATATATATATATATATATATATATATATATATATATATATATATATATATATATATAAAAGGAGAGATTATAGTTGTTCGAACGAGAGAAAAGTGCATATTTGAAAGTGAGAAGACGACGTAAATGTTTTTTTGTTATATTGTGAATTTATATATTGTCACTTTAAAATATGCACTTTTCTCTCATTCGAACAACTATAATCTCTCCTTATATATATATATATATATATATATATATATATATATATATATATATATATATATATATATATATATATAACTGTGACCTTCAAGCAGGAAAAAAAGGTTATTTACACATATTATTTAAAGGAATTGATAATTTCTTATGTCCAAGCTTTAATCATTGTCTTTTGTTTGTACTAGTGATTCAAAATCATCTTAGACTAGTGGAAGAAAGTCCCTTTTCTTTAAGGGATAATAAAACCATTAAAATTGGTCAGAGAAATGGGTGTTTTTTTAATTCTTACCATTTTTTGTCCAATGAACTTTTTAAAATCTGCCTCCATTCTTGTCTATTGTTTGTGTGTGTGTGAATAAAAATATATACATACCGTATCATACTGTATATAAATATTTTTCTTCTCCGTACATATATATTATTTTCTTACAATGAAATTATATATGTATATGTTGTATGGTGTGTAGGCTTTGTGTGTGTGCGGTTCGTTTAAATTTGTCTATGAAGTTTTTTTCTTGTATTTGTAGGTAAGAGTAATTGTCTGTTTCATATATTGGCAGAATTTTAAATTTTTTTTTTTTCGCATTTGTTGGATGTGTCGTGACATAAAGATATTTCCTGCTGTCTGGTAATATATGTATTATTTTATATCATGTATCATCTATATATATATATATATATATATATATATATATATATATATATATATATATATATATATATATATATATCATCTATTTATTTATTTTATTCACTTATTTACTTTTATTCATTTATTTATTTTTAATCAATTATTTAGCCAACACCAATAATATCTATATATCTATATATAAAACTCTGTGATTCCGTTAGCACGTCCATCCGTCACACCCTCTAAAATAGCCATATATTGATCGATCGATACCAAATTTATGGAAGAAGTGCAAACAGATAAAGGGGTACAAAGTACAGTTGGTTTTCCTAGGGTGCGTAAAAACCGCGAAGTAGGTTTTTTATCAAAGTATTTTTCCAAACAAATCTACATATTCAAATTTAATCGATTGGTTTGCTAAACTGAACGTAGAGTTTGTAAATCTCGATAAAACATGTTAGCGATGGATAACTTCAACAATACTAAATACTGTGAGGATTTCTGCACACGTTAGCGGGTTGCAAAAAATTCATATAAAATAAAAACTATAATAATATTTGCATGAATCTTAATGCCTTTATGAACAAAAGTTAAACATATCTCATATCTAAATAATTAGAACATTCCACTAGTTGAGCAATTTACTTTGAAAAACCTTTACAAACGGTCAAAAAGATGCATTAACATCTAACATCTAATTACATACAAAGAAGAATTATTTTTATGCATATAATCGAAGAATTTCGGATAAGTTTACGTCAAGAAATAACGTCTTTTAAGGTAGAAAAAGTCAAATAAATTCACGGCATAGGAAAAATTCACCAACGTCTCTATAAAAATAGGATTTCTGAATGTAAATTCTGTTTGACACACAAAGTCTTCTATCAGTGGATGTAATATCTGCAATACTCAGAGTAGATAAAGGATAAGTGAATCTTTAATTTTAACCATTTCATTATATATATATATATATATATATATATATATATATATATATATATTCCGATTACTTTTTGAATTTGTAGGTCTGATGATTTGGATCGTGATTATGATTCCAATGTAATAAATTATAAGCATGGAATATTAGTATTTGAGCCTTTTATATTATATTCTTGCTCTGTCCTGGACACAGAGTTATACCTGTATTCTATCCACTTGGACATATATATATATATATATATATATATATATATATATATTGATAATATTAATGGTCAATATATATATATATATATATATATATATATATATATATAATAATATTTTTAGTGGAATGTGCTCAATGTCTATGATAGATATAAAATATTCATTTGCATGGATACGAGTTTGTGACTCTGTGTACAACTAAATATATTTAAAGATATGCTTTGTGGTACAGAATTTTATGACTTCCATAAAAAAAGCAAATTTTATTTTTATTACGCTCAAGTTAATAATAGATAAAAATTAAAACTGAAAAACGGGCTAGCTAACCGGATTCGAACCTCGATCAACAGAGCTAAATCGAG